ATTGAGTCTCACAGATTTGTCATTCACTACACAGCTTCTCTGTGCACAGCCCACACAGCTAATCCCTGTACTATATTTCTCTCAGTTTTCCCTCCTCCACCCACACTTCTGCTGAGTTCTCTCCACACAGGAGAGACAGAACAGCTGAGGAAACAGCAGACTGATGGAAAATTTTTGAAAGTATATTGAGCCCACCCAACCTGAGGAGAGCATTCAAAGAAAAACAGGAAGAGGGAGAGTAGGAGCTCCCTCAAGCCCCACATACGAGCCAGCGATTGTCAATCCCACCCACCCCCGATCCCAACAGGGGCTGACTGCTGGGACTGAGCCGGTGCCCACACACAAAAATATGCAAATACGTTTTCTGTGAGGATTATGGAATGGAGGCAATTGCTAAGCTATTTCAGATACTGCGTCATGGAACTTGGGGGCACACTGGGCTCATTCCATTCAAACACCCACCATAAAAGTTTCACCATCACCTTTGGTCTTAAATTAGAATATTTGGAGGCCATCACACTGGGAGGATGAACGCAGGTCTGAAGATGGATGTATTTCTGTTCTGGCAACCAAAACTAGACTCCCCAGTCTACAGGACATTCAATGCCCTCCCTTGTGTGTGTGTGTGTGTGTGTGTGTGTGTGTGTGTGTGTGTGTGTGTGTGTGTGCGCGTGCTTTAGTATTACTCATCCTTTTCTCTCTTCTCATTCCTTTCATCTCCTCTTCCTACACCAAACCAGAACTTTTAAGGCTGCCTGTTTTTTTCAGGGATTGAGGGTGGGAAAGAGATGTGAATTCATTTAGCTCTTGCTCCCTATCTCTTTTGCTAGAGATTCCAGCCAGTTAGATGACTTAAAGTGGGCAATGACAAAAGGAGATCGGCTAGTCCCATTCATTCATTCATTAAGCAGACCTTTACTGAGTATCTACACAGAAAAGTTTCCCATCCTCACTCAGTCTATGGTCTAGGCTCAGTCAAACTGAGCACATCAAAAAGACATAGTCTTTTATCCCCCTTACTCCCCTTCGGTGACCTCTGAATTGACTTCTGGATTTGATTTAGTGTAGGCTTTTTGCATAGAACCCAGAACCTATACAGGGGTTATATAACCAATGGATAAACAAGATTATAAATGTTCTTCCCTATGAGTGATCTATAGAAATGTTTCCAGCCCACAGATTAGACTAGTCCCACCTCCTGGCTAAATATCCAAGTACTAAAATGAACTCATTCACCATTCTTCTTTACTTTGTTGGCACAATCTATTTTTTCCCATTTTGAATAAAAGATTATCCTTAAAGCTGGCCTAACTTTTCTTATTGGTCACTATTATGTGTTTGATGCTAATTGATATTTACCCATTCAGGTAACACATATTTATTGAGTAGCTACAATATGCCAGGCACTGTCCCAGGCACTGAGACTTGAACTTTACATAATGATTTCTTTTTTTTTTTTTTTTTGTCTTTTTTCTGTGTCCGGCAATGGATCGCAACCCTCAGTGTCGCCCCCGTACCGGACCGGGACCGGCAACAGGATCGCAACCCTCGGCGTTGCCCCCGTGCCTCGCTCAGCCAGTGAGCGGGAACCGGTCTGTATGTGGGATCCGAACCCTCGGTGGGAGCGCCGCCGCACTTCCCAAGCGGCGCACTAGCGCAGTGCGCCACCGGGCCGGCCCTACATAATGATTTCTTCATGGAACCAACAAGGGGGTGAGATCAGACAACCCTTGGCTTGCTTTTCTTTCCAAGAGACAAACTAACTTTATCCACTGCTGTGCAGAAAACCAAAAGTGAAGAACGTGGTTCTAATACAATGCTTAAAAAAGAAGGCACTGTTTGCATTTGTTGACTAGAGGTTATCAAGTTTTGAGGTTATTTATCAACTTTACTGTCAGACTGGTTGTCCACAGTTGACATCTTAGGGATTGAGCTCTATAGATTGGAGTTAAAGAGTTAATATTTTATAGAGTTTTGAAACATCAGACCCTGTAAGGAATGTTTTAAAGTTGGTGGTGAGAACCAGATCGGTCAAATGACCTAAGACACATGACCGCTCCCAAAGAGCAGAATTTTCTTTCCCTTCTGAATTCTACAATTGGAGAACCAAAGAGGTACGAAGGAGTTTTGCAGCCCTGGGCCTCTGAGATTAAGGATGAATTATTTCACAGTCTGTTGATGCCAGCCTGGGGTATAAGACCTTGATGAGGGGTGGCTCTCATGTGGTGTGTCAGCAATAGACAGCAGATGAACAGGGTAGTAATTTGTGGCCAAGAAAATTTTACTTGCTTCAAAAATTATCTATTGTCAGACTCAGCAGGGATCCAGAGGCTCGAGAGTCAGCCCTGGGCTGTGGACTGGACATACCATTGCACCTCCTGGCACTGATCAGTTTTTTAGCACCTAATTGATAGTTTCCAGCACAGCTCCAAACTATCAACAGGCCTCCTCATGTGTACTTTCCCTTCACTTCTAAACTTGCTGGACTCTATCCATTCAATAACAAAGGCTCTTGCACTCATATTGTTCTATAACTACGATAAACTTCTACTTATCCAGCCCCTCGTATGCTCTCCTGCAAGAAGAAAAATAAAAATGAACTCACTGGCAAAGTCTCTAATAGAATAAACAAATCACAAGCTTTATGTTTTAATAAGCTCAACTTTGGTCTTAATGAAATTGAAGCCATTCTTTTCTTACAAGTGGAACCGTCATTGGTTTCTTTGGCTTTGATAAAAGAATTCATTTGGAACGTATTGTTCATATCAAATGGACCATTTTTTTCTTTTTCTTTTTTTTCTGTTTTTAGTTTTGAAAGCCCCAGGATAATCAGGGAAAAGAAAAATACTAATCAAAGGGGACTTGAATGGTAGTGCATTCTCTCTTCATACCTATGTTTTTCATGTGACAAAAGAAACTAAGGATGCACAGTAACTCCCAGTTGTCAGGCTGCTGAGGTGTGCTAAGTCAGTCTGTTAATGACAGGAGTTTTGAAACTAGTGGAAAGAATAAAACAGATCTGGGTTTAAATCATAGCCCCAAACTCTCACTCCACCATTTAATATCTTGGCCAAATTATTTATAATCTCTGAGTTTGATATAATGGAGATCATTGCCTACCTCATAAGATTATTGAGAGGGTTAAACGAGAGAAAGCACAGTTCCTGCATGTTGAAGGCCCTCAGTGGATGACATTCCCCCTACCTTCTCCCCATTCCCTCATCCCTGCAGCTTCATTCATGAGACGACATCAGGGTTCCCTCAGTGAGGAGGCTACTAGGTCTCAGGTTTTACAGATTTCTGCTGATTTAAATATCCAACTGTGCTGATATGATTTATGCAAATGCCAGCTGGGGACTGATGCCATAACAGGAATGAGTCATTTCAGAGCACTCCTTAACACAGTCCAATCTTGCCTTAGAGAGAACTGGGTTTTCCTTATTGATGGCAGAGAATGATGGGAGAGATTGCCCTGGGACTCAGGCACTCCTGATACAGCGCTCGCAGCATCAAGAGGTTTTTGCAGATAAGGTCCAGGACTCCCTTAAGTGACATTAAACAAGGGTTAGCAGCTTGGAGTTTGAAATCTGACAAAATGAGGTTTGAATCCTGATTGCCACTCACTAGCTGAGTACCCTCTCAGAGTCTGTTTTCTCTTAGAGTTCTTGTGAGGATTAAATGAGGCAACATACATAAAGCACTTAGGACAGTGACTGGCACAGCAAATGCTCAGTAAAAGTCAGCTATTCTCTCTCTCTCTGTCCTGGCCAGAGTTCACCTTTCAGATATCTGCTGATTACTGAAGTCTGCCTTCCAACAGTTGGCAAATTAACAGAGATGTTGTTTCTTGTCTATTTACTATGTTCTCACTTCTGCTGAAATGCCTACATCTCACCCATGCACGCCCTGCTCAACATTAATTCATCCTGTGATCATTATTTTGTGAAGGCTGTCTTCATCTTGAAAGAAAACATAATTATTGCTCAGTCATATGAAACCTCACATCAATACCAAATAAATAGTTGTTGATTGATCATGAAGATAATCAAGGCCTTAAATAACACACTTTGTTAAAAAAAACTATCTAATTCCTTTTTTTTTGGCACCTGATCAGTATGGGGATCTGAACCCCTGACTTTGGTGTTGTAACATTGCATTCTAACCAACTGAGCTAACTGGCCAGCCCCCAGAAAGCTGTCTAATTTCATATCATACCATTATTTCTAAGTTCCATATCCTACAAAAATAGTTTATCTCAGTAAAGTTGGTTAAAAAGAAAAACTAAAAATGTTTCTATCAGAATATGAATATTAATAATAATAATCTGAATATTCATTGTGGTACATGAAAGTTGCTCTATAAGCAGGAGATTGGAGGTTAAGAAAACACTACCTCAGTAGATGAGTTAACATTTACCAAATCCCTAGTGGCTTCATGGCCCTTTATTGATAAATTTTAGCTTCATCATTTTAATGAGAGAGCTTCAAATTTCTTTTTTCCTGGAAGAATCTCTTTAGATTCTTCATTCTCTTGGAGAGGCAGGTATGTCTCTATGATAATATATATGTAATTAGCTCCTTTGTGTTAGCAATATATCATGGAGACATTCAAATTTATATTACACACAAGCTCACTATTAGTTTCCTGACTTAGGTGGTACATATTCTAATATAGCTAGTAAAAAGTGCATAAAATATGCATAAATCCTGTCTAATGACTCAAGTTAAATATACTTCAAAGAATGTTCTATCATTAAAATTCACATACATTTTTCTTGCAAGGAAGTTATTCGTCTGAATTGTAGCATGTGTTTTATTACAAACTTGGAGCTGGTTGATGAATAGTGATGGAGCTACAAATCAAATCAACAGCTTAATTAGCTCAGCAGGATTTTAGGATGCTTTTCTCACTTGGTGAGAATAAGCTCAGAGATTAGCTTAGGACCCTAGGCTTGGTTCCTTGGGCTCTGGGCAGTCTTCCCCATGGAGAGGGACCCTTACCTGAGGCCCTCACCCTCAGGAGAGTGCTGTCTGCAGTACTCCAGAGTGTAGGTCTCTGTGGCCTCTGGGTTGGCAGGCCGCCAACGGATGGTGGCCGTGTTCCAACACACAGTACAGTCCTCAGCATGGATCACAGGAGTGGAGGGTGCTGCACAGAAAGAACCAAGTCAATCATGTAGCAATGCCAGCCCTGCTTCCCTAGTACCTCAGAAGAATGCTTAGGCATGATTTCATTTTCAATTTTTTATCAGAAAATTCATTCTGGGCTGAAAACTCAAAAATGATCAAAATTTATATAGTGAAAAGTCTCCTTTCCTCTTCTGCCTTCCAAACTGCCCAGTTCTCATCTATCCCCCAAAAGCCTCTACCATTAGCTTCCTATAAATCCCACCAGAGTTTCTTCGATACATATATGATCAAAAATACAGATTTTTGCCCCTCTCCCTTTACAATAAGCAGTAGCCATGATCTTGCTTTCAGTAGGAGCCCAATAAAGATTTATTTTAAAATGCAAGAAGAAAGGATGAAGGATGGAAGCAAGCAATTTCTTCCCCTGAGGCAGTTGCGACTACCTTAAAGGCAATGCAGCCTTGGTTTATGCTACCCTGCTTCAGCCCCCTGTGAAAAGATTCCCCCATGAGAATGAATGCATTCCCAGTTGAATACCAATGCTTATAACCTTTTTGGGCCTCTCAGCACCCACACAGTGAAGCCCCAGCTTCTTACCTTGCAAGCACGGCCTCTGTATGCTGGCCGTTCTCACCTCATGCCTTTCCTCTCCTTATTTTTAAGTCTAAGAAATAACAACAAATTTCTTATAGTGTCCTCAGCACTCCATACTCTCTCTTACCTCAATGCCTCTGCTCATACGTTTTCTTCAAGTGGAATATGCTCCTTTAACACATTCCTTCCTACTGAGCCTTTAAAGCATTCTGTCCAGGCATCAGTTCTAGGAAGCCCTTCCTGATCCTGCCCCTGCCCCAGGCTGTCTTGCGGACCCCTCTGGAGTGTTCTCATAATAACCTGAGTATATTTGGATCATGGCCCTTCCCAAATATTTTCTGTGATCTTCTGCTTTTCTGTCTCTCTCACTTGACTATGAGCTTCTTGAGAACAGGAACCCAGTCTTATTCATTGTTGGGTACCCAGCACTTTCCATAACACCCAACATGTGATAGGTGCTTAATAAATACTTATTTGTTGATCTCAAGAGTCTGTGAAGAATTGAGTATTGCCTCCTAACAACCCCTTAGCATCTCCTTACCTGTTCTAAAAATTGCTCTTTCACTGGGCAGGCTACATCCAGTGAAGTTCACAGCCATCACCCATACTTGATAGCGTCGGTCAGGTTCCAAATCTTCAAAAATGCAGCAACTTTCTTTCACTGTCAATCTGTATTCTTCTACCAGCTCTAGCATAAAACACAATCATAAAATCTAAGGAATCTTCCGAAGTTAACTGAAAGCTATAGTGATTAGAAAAAGTTGTCTATGATTTTTTTTCAGTGGAAAACCCAAATTTACAGCCTTACAGACACCATTATGTGGTAACTAGCTCTTTAGAATACGTAAGAAAGCAATCACATTCTGAAAAAGATATTTAGAATGACATAGTATTACTTGTGAACACTTATCAGAAAATAATAGCATATTAGTAAGATTCTCAGCTTTGTATACCACAATTAAAGTAACTTATTTCAATAGTACATATTAAAATTGCAGACAGTTTATGTTAGCTTAAATCTCAGTAATTACAGGCTCAAGAAAATTCTTATGAACCAATGCCAATATTTCAGAAGAGTACGTCACTTAAAAAGGGCAATCCCATGTTTTCTCACCTTATGATGTTATAAAGCATCTTCACAGATTAGTAAACTATTTTGGTATTCATTATGACTTTCCAAGTTTCAAATCCTGGTTCCTTTTCATTAATTCCAGGTTTCTTTCAACTAGAGATTTCCACAATTTATAGAAATATTTAAATAACTGATAGGTCATAAGTATTATAAAAAGTAGCTTTGTTTAATGAAGAAATTTTCCTTTTAAAATTTCTTAAATTATTTTACTTTCACTATTTTGTAGTAAATATTACTCAGTACAATTCTGAACACCTATTTCTTTGGGCCAATCATTATTTTTACTGAAATTTTCTCTCCTTTAAAAAGAACAATTTTCTTTAAAAAGAAAATTAAACTATGGTAATTCTCCCTTATACTCTTGAGTATCCCATCTTCAAAACTCCTCCAGTTAGGAACTCAGATTATTTCTTTAAAAGCAGCTTAGGAGCTTTTCAATTTAGCAGGTCTCTTCAATTGCCTCTCTCTTTTCCAATGAGCTATACTCTCTGGATAGAAAATTTGGTTTAAAAAATGTCATACGGACTTATACGCTGAAATATTTTTCCCCCACAGCCCAGAAACTGTGACCTCAGTTTTCACTGGAACCATTCCTTTAGGCTAGGTCCTGTTACCCTGGTGCTGATTTTAACAACGCACATAACATGTTTTAGGAGACCTTATTACACACATAACACAGTATCACAGCATAGATCATCAGATTAGCTAGCTGTCATCAGCACTCTTCAAAGCACTGAACCAATGAGACACAGGACAGAGAAGTGTTTGGAGTGAAGGTGGGGATGGGGGTGGAGGTGAGGCTTTTAGAAAAGGTAACCCAGGCAATGACTATTTGTCAAGAGGGGTCTTGGAGAGCAATGGAGTTTCATGATATAGCTGGATATAGATGGAGACAAAGTGTGGTGTAACAAAACAGAGACAAACAAAAACATAAGCTTTGGAGTCTGAAAGTTCTGTGTTTGAATCCTGCCCCATCATGTGTAAGTTGTGTGGCCTTGGGCAAATTACTTAACTTCACATCAGTTTTCTTGCTTGAAAATGGGGCTAGTAACATTTTTTTCCTTGTGTTGTGACAGGCATATGGTAATAGGTACTAATAAATAAACAAACAGAAAAGAAAAAACACAACAATCACAATAATTCCTTGAACTTGTTAAGAGAACAGATAGGCTATTGATGGCGGTAGAAAAGGGGGAGAGGGAGGGGAGAAAGGAAGGAATTGGTAAACAGCCACAAAAGTCCACTGCATTGTATAGTGATAAAAACATAAATAAAATAAAATAATATCGGAGTCCTTATAGACAAACTTAGCTAACTTTACACTATGCCTACAGTTGCTTTTTAAAACTTTTTTTCTAAATTAAGTATCACATGACATTTCAAAAGACTTAAATATTAATAACAGTGAAATATATTACAATTCATTCCTCATTATAAATTGGGCACCTGAGTTTTATAATACGATGTCGATCCTGCCGCATGCTCATCTGATTTCCAAAGTTATGTGGGGCTGTCTTTAACAAGTAACACAGAGTGCCAGCTCTCTCAGCCCTGATTCGTCAGAAAACACCTCAAACTGTCTGGCTCTTACATCTTATTAGAAGTCCTACTCAGCAGAGAGCTATTTACAGAGGCTGAACTATAAGACATGCCATCCAGTCACCCGACTAAGCACTTTCACTTCTATCCACATATTAATTTGGGACACTAGAAGTCTATACCATACCTAGGTCCATGTCTTAAGAATTGTGAACATTTTGAATAAACCTGTATGGCTTGTTTGTGGCTTTAATCAAAGGTTGATCTGAGAAACTGCCAACCATGACATCTAATGCTGTGTGATATGTATATGTTTAAATACTTCACATTAAAATACAGAAATACATACATGCGTCTGTATTCGTGTTAGGAAACCTACCATTTACTTCTTGGTCATCTTGTGGCTCCTCCATGCAGTAAACCTGGAATGACTCAATGACATCTTCCTTGTTCATGCTCCAGTAAACTGCAATTGTTGTGCTAGTGGCAGAATTCGGTTCCTGAGGTTCTAATCTAGGAGGCTGTGGAACTGCAATATAAGCAAGATTTATCATAACTAATTCTGTTTTTATTGATTGGTGCGTGGGTGTGTGTGTGGGTGTGTATTTGCAAAAGTTTTTTATGCTTGTTGAAAAAAATTCAAACAATACAAAAATACAAGGCATAAAAGTAGAAGGGCTTCCTTGTTCCCGACAACTTCCAACCCCAATTACATTCCTTAGACCTAACCACTGTTACAATTGATTGTGTATACCTCCAGAATGTTTCCTACGCATTTGTATATGTGCACATATAATACACACAAATATAAACAAAAATGGATCCCTAAATGGGATCACTTGATAATACTCTTCTTTAGTCCTATATTTAGAGCAATAAACTTATACAGGTTAGAGGATGTATCAAATGACTTGATTTTTCTTCAGAACAAAACGTGTGCTTTGCTAGATAACAATGCTGTACTGTTCTATATCAATACAGAGTCTATATTCACAATAGAGACAAATAAAACCCTATTTAGATATAGTTGCTATATCTTCAAGGCTGAAAAAGACTTGCATAAATAAAATATCAAAATACACTCTCTGAAACTACGATCCACTTTGTCTTTCCAACATGGCTATACTACAGATTTTTTTTTAATTAAAATATAAAAACTATGTAGGGGGGAAAGTAGCCTATTAACTGATTAAGTATAAGTTTTAGACACCTAGGATAACTCTGTCTTTCTGAATTTTAAAGATAATAATATTCTCAAGTGTTTTCCTAGAGATTTTAAAAGGTTATAATTATGCATACTGAATACCATAAATGAAGCTCCTATGCAATTCTCCTCCAAAAGTTATGACACAAACACACTGACCATATTTTAGAAATTAAGGAAAAAGTTTATTCCCATAGTTGAAAAGATGCCATGCTTTTAATTTATTATTTGTAGTTATTTTTTTCCAGTCAACAATTTCCTGAGAGATAAGCTTACCAAAATAATATGGGCCAAATTGTATGAGATTACTTTATTAAAAGTCAACACCAAAGGAAAAGAAAACAAAGGTTAGTTCAACAAGAAGGTAAAAATAAGAACAAATACATGGCTCTAAAGAATGAAATAAAAAGAGACAAACTGAGAAGATTCATTAGTGATAAAGAGCTGAAGAAATACAGTTATGAAAAATAAGAAGCAGGATAGAAGAATGGTCAAGTTCATGGGCTTCAGAGCAGAGAGGCAGACTCAACATTAAATGCCACATCCCCCATTCACTGGCCTTACTAGTTATCTTAGTTTCAGTTTCCCCATCTTTAAAATGACACTACAACAACAATACCATTCCCTCCCAGGTTTGTTGTAAGATGCAACATAATGTGTATCAAGTGCTTAGCAGAGCGCCCTGACACATAACCAGTGCTAACACGACCAGAAGGCAAAATGACCTTGGCTGGAGCACAAAAAATAGAGGGGAGAAGCAGGAAACTCCTGAAGATGAGGGTTGAACTAGGGACTCATCATCTGGTCAACCACAGAGGCCACAGAGGTAAGACCTGCTAGGGGGCTGCATGGTAAGGCAGGAAGCCTGCCTGTCAGAGCACTTCCCTAGGGACTGATAATGGTTGAGAGGCCCTTATACCATCGTGGACTTTAGTGTTTGTCTTCCCAGTGGGAAACAGCTGTCACATTCTTTTTTTTTTTTTTTTCCTTTTTTTTTGTCTTTTTTCGTGTCCGGCAATGGACCGCAACCCTCAGTGTCGCGCCTGTACCGGACCGGGACTGGCAACGGGATCGCAACCCTCGGTGCTGCGCCCGCCCCACGCTCAGCCAGTGAGCGGGAACCGGTCTGTATGTGGGATCCGAACCCTCAGCGGGAGCGCCGCCACGCTCTCAAGCGGCGCACTGTAGCAGTGCGCCACCGGGCCAGCCCCGCAGCTGTCACATTCTAAAGGAGTCCATCCAGGTGAATGTAGTTCAGTAAATTTTCATGTTACCTAGGTTTATTGAAGAGCCAAGCAGAATGTTTCAACTATTGTCAATCATCTTTGAAGCAGTGCTGGAGAACTCCTTGAGGCATGAACAACAGAAATGCTCTCCCCCCGCCACCTTTTTTTCTATGAATTATACATTGACCTATATCCACTTTTCAGCACCATGCTCTAACCAACTGAGCTAACCAGCTAGCCCTGAGCTATATCTGCCTTTTAAAAATGTTAACATCTTTTCACCTCTCTCTCTCTCTCTATCTCTCATAACATAACAAACTTAAAAACTGATAATTGACCCCCAAAAAATCACCTAATTTTGAGGAAGGAGCAGTTATAAGGAATTAAGGTTAGAAATAATACATAGGCTAGAAATAATTTTGTTCCTAATATTCTTCTTCCCCAAAAGCATTGAAGTTAAAATAATTTTTTCAAAAAACAGGAAATTCTTTTACTTTTCAAAGTATTCTAAAATGAAAAAGGGAATATGAATATTCCATAGATGGAACCTAATAATAATGGCAGGATTTGCCATTCCTACATAGCAGAAGAACATCAGAAACCCAGATTTTGTACGTTAGCAACTCTGTTTACACTTCTGTAGTAATAAACCTGAATAAGTATGATGCTAAAAAATACAAAATGGAAGTTTAAGACTTCTGTCCCAGTGGCTAAGGAATTGGGCAGAGGAATCACCCTGTGGATTCCCTCTGCCAGATGGAATGTGCCCATAAAGAGCTGTTGCACTTGGGGAGCTAAGCATGAATCAACTTGGACCACAGGACCTATGGCCAGGTACAGATTTCCATTCAACCTGGCTTTCAGAAAGTCCCCAGGAGTGCAGCATTATTCACAATAGCCTTAGGTGGAAGCAACTCAAGTGTCCATCTACAGATGAATGAATAAGCACATATGGTGTATACATACAATGGAATATTATTCAGCCTTAAAAAGGAAGAAAATTCTGACACATGCTACAACATGGATGAATCCTGAACATTATGCATAGTGAGACAATGTATGATTCCACTTATATGATGTACCTAGAGTAGTCAAATTCATAGAAACAGAATAGAATGGTGATTGCCAGGGGCCAGGGGAAGGGGGGAATGGGGAGTTATTGAATGGGTACAGAGTTTCAGTTTTGCAAGATGGAGAGTTCTGGAGATGGATGGTGCTGATAGTTGTACAGCAATGTGAATATACTTAATGCTACTGAACTGTACAATTAAAAATGGGTAAGATGGTAAAGTTTATGTGCATTTTACCACAATTTAAAAAAAATCCCCAGGAGCCTGAGTCAAGGGAGCCTAGGCTAATCCACGTTTATCTCGTCTTTCACAGCCATGCCCTCTGCGTTTTTGCTCCGACTGTGTTGTCTTAAGTGATAGGACATTTTTCTGTTCCCCTCTTTCTTCACCTGTCAAATGGGAATAACAATAAAACCTCCCTCCTAGAGTTGTCATGAGACTAGATGATCAGATACGCTTAACAGTCTCCACAGCGCCAGCATTGTCTAAGCACGGAATAAATGGTAGGAGCTGCTATCCTTGCTGGAAAACTCTCATCTTTTCCTCATTGTGTCTACTTAGTTTGGGTAGGGGATCATCAGATTAACTTTTCAGGTACCAGCTGAGGACTTTACATCTGAGAGAGGTCATGGTCACAAATGAACAAAAACCAGCAGCAAGTCAAAACCCTGCGCTCCAACTTTGTGAAGCAGAAACACAAAGCTGTATTTATCTCTCGGAGATCTGTCTCCCCATAAAGGGCTTCAAACCACTGGGACTGCCGGGTGCACTTTCTGAGTTAATCATTTACACTTTGTGACAATTTAACTCTGTGACCTCTAAAAAAATATACAATGTTCTTTGTTTGAACGCCGGGTATTCAAAACTTATCCTTCTAAATGAACAACAGCATATAATAAATCCCATGAAAACAAAAGAACTGCTCTGTTAAGCGAAATTTCTTAGTTTACAATCACTGCTTTAGTCTAATGCGTCTTGAAGACATTACAAGAAAATTCTCTTTTGTTTTGAGACATTTCTAGAGAAAATCCATTAGGATAAAGGACTGAATCTTTCACTTTACATATGGTTGGTAGGGTTTTGTTTTTAGTGGAGTTTTTTGTCTTTTTAAAGACACAGTAGCCTTATACTAGTTACTAAACTAAAACTCTTCCTACAGAAATGAAAGTTAATAGTCAATTTAAACACAACAGCTGTCCTTAAGATGGTTTTGCAAGAATATAGCATCTTTTAAGGAGGACATCTGAGCACATTGTACAGTAAGTGAAACTTGGTAACTTCACTGAAACATGGCAGCTTTGAGAAATTTAAGTAAGTTTCATTGTCTTGTTTGTTAAAATAGCACATTAAAAAATATTTTGAAGAGCTGAAGGGATGCTTCTGACAGCTGAGTGGGAGGCTCCTGGCTACAGATCATGGTGCTGAGCTGTTAGTTCTCTAATCTGGTTAGTTTGAAAAAAAAAAAAAAGAAACAGAACTGAACTGAAGAGGGGAAAACCACTCATAAGGAAAAGTCTGTTCAACACATATGAAAATATTTCACTTCTTTTTCCTTCTATACCTGGCTGCTGGTGCAAAGCAAATACTTCTCTAGAAGAGTGGGAAAGAAATCCTATGAAAGAAAAAGAGGAGAACCTTGAATTCCGTTTTCCTCCCTCCACCTCCTCAATATCCTAGCACAGGCATAAAGCTTCAAATGGAAATGCGGTTTATCGTTGAAATGGGATGTTGGTCTCACGCTTAATTTCAGAGTCTAGCTTTAAATTTTTACAACCAACACTTTCTTTTTCCAGTTAAATGTCTTTACATTCAAAAACTTTACAAAACAAACAAGCCCAAACTGCCATATTTCATCCAGGTGATTAACATACTAAAATGCTTACCAGCCACTTGTTTTAACATCTGGTCACTTCTTGCCGAGCTGTCATCATAATGTTCAAAAAGTGAAAAAGCAGCAGGCATTTTCTCTAAAGAAGCAGTGCTCTCCATTGCAGAAAGCAACCTAGCAGGGGGACAGACCTCTACATAAGAAATTATTAACATACAGAATGAAAATGAAAGACAATTGTTCAAAATGAAGCTGGTTTTGGTAGTGGTGGTTTTTATGAGACAGGCCCTCTCACTATATCCAAAAAGGATTTAGATAGTTTTGAAGACTGAAAATATATGTCTAAATCTATTTATCCTTAAGGTTCTTAGGTAACTGATAGTATTGAGAATTTCATTCCTATATCCTCAAGGTAGATAAGATTCTTTCAAATTATACAGTCTTAAGTTTTTTATCTATAAAGTTAGTTCTAAAAATTATTTCATTTTAATTATTTTCTTTATTTCCTAAAGGATATAAATGTTCAGGGCCCATCTGGAAACTTACACTGTACGATATCCTTCTTCTCAAACCTCACTACTAAGCTTCTGGTCATTCAGTCATTCAAAAACTATTGTTCGCCTACTATGTGCCAGGCACTGTACTAGGTGCTGGGGATACGGCAGTGAAAGAGGGTAAGACCTACCATTCCTAAAAGACTACACAAGCCACAGTTTATAAATGAATAGCTTCTACAGACTCAAGACCTTCTAAGGAGGAACGCCAACTAATGCTATTTGTAACTAGGTGAAATCTGGATTAAAAAAAAAAATTGGAAAACAGGTTACCTCTGAAGGGGAAAGATGGAAAGGAGGGTTTGCAAAAGAATTGATCCTTAGTGTGAGCGACCTCAAAGTGAATTAGGAACTTTGTTGTGTGCACTTCTCTCACACAGGCCTGGAATTCTCTTCCAGCAATTAAGTCCATGACAAGGAACTGCATCAGCTTCATTATACAGACTTTTTGGTTTTCCCAGCACAGACCCACCTCAAAGCCTTTGCACTTGCTGTTGGAACTTTCTTCTCGCAGGTACCTGCATGGCTCCTTCCCTCACCTAATTTAGATCTCTGTTTGTATGTCAGCTCCTCAGAGTACGCTGCCGATACGGCACGGCCTGCCCATCGATCTCCTACCTTGCTTCGTCTTACTTCCTCAAACTCATCACGGCCTATGTGTTTTTTGTCTGTCTACTTCACTGAAATATAATGTACATGTAGGGAAGGACTTTGTTTTATTCACTGCTGTACTGTAATGTATTACTTGGCACATAGCATACATTTAATACATTTTGAATGAATAAGAAGCCAATGGTTTCATTTGGGTGAGGCTATCAGGACCTCAGAGATGGTGGATTTTTGTCAGTATGAGGGAAAAAAGACTATAAAATATAACTGAAATATTTAAAGAGTGCCTTCTATGCTTACTACTGTCAGAAACAATAAAATTCACTATCGCTTCATTTAGGGAAGATGGTTCTAGCAGGGGCGTCAGAGAGGAGGCGCCGTGTGGACTGGGTCTTAAAGAGTGAGTAGGTATTTCCTAGGCAGAAAGGGGAGTAAGGGTGGTGTGGGTAGAACCGTGTGAACAAAGGCACGTAAATGTGAACAACTAAGACTCAACTGAGGGCCAGAGGGCACCGGGGAACCTTGGGAGCTGGAAACAGAGATAGTTAGAAATGAAATAGAAAAGTGGTTTGTGGGTTGATTGTGAAGAACCTTTCATACCCACCAAGAGTTTCAGTTTTATCCTTTAAGGCAGGGAGAGCCACAGAATTGTTTACACAGGGGAGGTGCAGATGAATACCCTGGCAAGATTCTGAGGAAGGGTCAGAGAAAGTAAGTGAGAGAGGCAGTGAGATCAGTCGGGGGGACCCCCCAAGACCTAGGTGATGGAAGACAACACGAGCCTAAACTAAGGCTTTGGGGATGCAGAGGGTGGAAATGAGACTCAGAATTAACAAAAATAGTGACCAATACACACACTAAGCCTTCTCAATACCTTTCACTGAACAAATGCAGGACATCTTGTAGCACAAAAGCTGTGGTTGTAGATACCACAAGTAAAATGTTTGAGTTTTCCCTTATGCACTGACCTGTTCAATGCTAACATCAGCATATAAAAGGGGAAGTAGACATCTTGTGATAAGTGTGTTCTACAATGGTTGTAACTGTCTTTCCTTTTCATTATTATAACACAAAAGAGCAAAATGGAAAAAAAAAAAAAAAAGAATGCATCCCCTTAACAGAACAGCATTTTCTAAGGAAATGTGTTTTTCAAGATATGCAAATGTTGAGTCTAAATATGCTTGACAGCATTCCTTAATTTAAGCATTTTTAGTGTTGAGAAAAAAATCATTTAATATATAAGCTCTGCCTTTAGAGATATAATGTGAAGGAGGGGAGAAAAAGCTGCAAGGTAAAATAAACTAGATAATTAGCACTTCTTATGGAAAGGAACACCAATAACATTGAGACTTTGAGGCAAAAGTTGTCTTGAGAACATGAAAGGTTTTTTAGTGAGGGAATCAAGCTTCATCGTGTGTGTGCGTGCGTGTGTGTGTGTGTGCGTGTGTGCGTGTGTACATGCATAAGTTTAACAGGGCTTTCTTTAACTGCTCCTATTTCTTCAGCAAATCCTAGAATTTTTTTGTCTTTTTTCTTTACAGAAAAATAATGATTATCCCAAGCATACTCTCCTTTAGGTGACATGCAGCTTTAGCAAAGATTAATTCATTGTCAGTTAGACAATGAAATAGAAATTAATTAAAATGACACACAGATGAACAAATTTAAGCACAAAACCAAGGAAACAATATTCAGTATTAAATGGATGTTAGTTCATATTAGCAATATTCTAATGTTTTAGAAATGTAAAAATGTTCTATCACATTTTTTAAGGTAAAAGCATTTACAAGTTTTCATTTACAAATCTTCTTACCAATCAATATCTTCCATGAATGGATGAAATATAAATAAGCAAATACATATCTATACTGCCCAGTATATATGCAATGGTACTATAAATCCATATACTTTTTGGATAAAAATAAATGTCAATCATTTTTTTAAAATGAAAGAGAAAATGAGGAATTCAAACAGTGTATAACCATCTGAATAATGTGTGCTGTTTTGTTTTTAAATTTGACACTCAAACTTGTAATTTCAATATTAAAAAAAACATACAAAATCATTTTGAAATAAAGAAAACTGGGAGCAAGGCCTGGGTGTCAGTTTCCAGACCTGATTGATGTGTCTCCGACTCACCTGTGGGAATTGGTAACCTGCAGAAGCCTAGTCTCACCCGGGAAATTCTGATGTAGTGAATCTGGGGTGGGGCCCTAGGTCTTAAACAAATTGCACAGGTGATTCAGATACAGCCAGTTTGGGAAACCACTGGGCCAGAGGACACATTGTTATAAACCAGAAAACACATTGTTTTTCAACTGTGGCCGTGCGTTGGAATCACCTAGGAAGCTTTAAAAATGCCCTGATCACACCCCTACCAACTAAACCAGAATCTCTGGAGATAATAGTCAGGCATCAGCATTTTTTAAAGCTTCCTTGGTAATTCTATTTATAATAGAGTCATTGGTATAAAACCCTTATTGATTAATGCTAATATTAATATACAAATTATTTTAATAAAACTTACTGGCAATATTCTGTTGAATAGAATTTTTTATAGGTAAATAGGATTCATCTGTGGGGTTTGATTATTTTTTTAAAAATAAGTTTTTGAATCCAAATCCATTTTCTATATTTTAATACATTACAGATAGAAATTTCTGATTTTACTTTACGCTGTTTTACAACTTGAACTGGCATGGAAGTAAACTGAAGATAATATTTACAGTTTAGTCATTTACATTTAAAATTACATTAAAATGATAAAACATTAGGCTCAACCAGCAGGAAAGACCTCAGGTCTTGCTACTGGGGCAAAAAAGAAAGGAAAGGGAATCAGATCAGTATGAGAATTTTAATATCAGATGCTCAAAAAGATAAACATCATGTTATATATTTTTATAGAAAAGAATTTTCTAATTTCTTGTTGAGTGTTTTACCTTTTTTTTTTTTTTTGTCTTTTGTCTTTTTTCGTGTCCGGCATCGGATCGCAACCCTCAGTGTTGCCCCCGTACCGGACCGGGGACCGGCAACGGGATTGCAACCCTCGGCGTTGCTCCCGCGCCTCGCTCAGTGGCTGAGCGGGAACCAGTCTGTATGTGGGATCCGAACCCTCGGGCGGGAGCGCTGCCGCACTTCCCAAGCGGCGCACTTATCCAGTGCGCCACCGGGCCGGCCCATGTGTTTTACCTTTTGAAAGAATGAAGTATTCTTTTAGACTGTATGTTAAAAACAACAACAAGAAAAACCAAAAGAGGAAGATTCATTTAGGTTAGCTGAGCAGAGAGAGAAGATAAATGCATGCCTTTTGAAGAGAAAATGAGAAAACATCCCATTAAGAGAACATAAGTCATAAAATTACTCAAGGCAGATATGAATGATTCTTTCAAATACTCATATTTAACCAATAAGTCTAAGTATCTACAAAATGTTCTATATGCAGTGACAGAAAAGATGGTCTAGATTAGGCTGAAAATACAGAATACATCTCAAGGAAGCAGTTAAAAATCTACATTATGAATTGTTATTTAACTAAAGCACATGCAATTTTCTTTCAAAGCTGTCATTTAGTTTTTAAAAGCACTGTGTCTAAAAGTGAAAATCCAGTAGCTCACTAAATGTATTTTTTAATTGGCAGCTCATTTTCTATAAAGCATCAAAATATTAAAAATAAAGCATCCAGTCATGCTATTCTCAGTCGCCACTACATTGTGCCATGTTTTGTATACCTTTCATTGATTTCCTCGAATGACTTGGGGGGGGGGGGACAAAAGGCAGGGGAGAGAGAGAGAGAGACTAGTTAACAACAAAAAGAAAAACCAACCAAGAGCATTAGATTACCCATGTTCAAAAATCATCACCCCTCAGCTTCCCTGAGGCGGTTTCTCTGGTGGTTTCAGCCTGGACAGCAAGGAAATCAGTGCCTAGAAGAGGAGAAGGGTCTGCATTGGGAAGGGAGAGGCTTTAGTTTGCAGTTCGGCTCTGCTGTCTATGATCAGCAAGACCAGTAATGAGTTGCTTATGCTCTGCTTCTCTCTATTCACTAACAAATGGCTTAGCTCTAGGATAGAATTCTCTGAAGCAAGAAAAATGATTTAAATCTGTTCAACGTGAGATATATATCAAAAGTGTAATCAGTAGTTATCTCTGAGCTTTACCGTCTCTGTGCTTTTCTGTATTTTCTAATTTTTCTAAAAGGGATATATATTACATTTATAAGCAGAAAAATATGCTTTTTTTTTTTTTTTAATTTGTTCCTCTAGAGAGAAGGGAATACAGTCACACATTGCTTAAAGACGGGGCTAGGGAATACATTCTGAGAAATGTGTCCTTAGGCGATTTTGTTGTTGTGTGAACATCATAGAGTGTACTGACACAAACCTAGATGGCACAGACACTACACACCTAGGCTATATGGTATGTCCATTATAATTTCATGGAACAACCATCATATACGCAGCCCATTGTTAACCAAAATGTCATTATGCAGCAAGTGACTGTATTATTGTTATCAAAGATAAGGTTCTCAGGGAACACAAAGCACTTTATTAATGTTATACTTCACAAAAGGTGCCTAACTTAAGAATATTAAGGCTTCAAATAAAGCAACCTAATGAGTTTAGTTCTCCCTTAAGGATGGCCATGTCCACTTCACTCAAACTTACCCTGGCTAGAGGTGTCCCAAGAGACAAACCAAAAGCCTAACATGCCCCATTTTGCCTTGCTCTAACTGCAGAGTTTACTAGAAGGCTGGGAGGATGGGGAACTTTGACAGGGAGGCCCCCATGCAATCATAAAATGGCTCTTTCCCCCATTTGACAATTAGACCTGGGTCTGCCCTCAGGGAAACATCTCCATTGCTTCTGGTTAATCCTGGTTCTATGGAGAACGAGCATCTCACTGAAGGTGCTAGGGAAACGTGGAGAGCAAAGCGCTGCCTCTGCAGAGCAATTTAAGGAGCTCCCAAGGTAATCTCCCTGTCTACAAGTTACTTGCTTGAGTTAAGGAATCCTATCCCCAGGAAGTTCCTTGTAAAAACCCCAACATATTACCTGAGAGAGGTACCACAGTATGTCACCGTTTGCATAACAAAACGTTCCTCTCAGCCACTCAGTGAGGCTCAGAGGGAACGGTCCATTTGAGAGGTCAGTTCAGATTGGGGAGTGGCGAGGACGGGCCCAGGGGCCAGCACGAGGATGCTGGGCACCAGAAGACAGGGCTGGCCTTGGAGGGAAAGTGTGGCATGAATAAGGTTTTAAGCCTGCTTTCTCTCCCTCTTAGAAGGTGGCCAGTCCAGCGTGACAGAAGGGAATGATGATGCTGTGGCCTGACTCCACAGATCTTTCAGCTGGATCTGGGTATGATGCTTTGAGGATTTGCTGGGCGTTTTGTATAGGCATCAGGCATGCCCGGATGAATTATAGAAACTCCACACAGAGATATAAATGATCGTAAGGAATATTAAAAGATGAAGTTTTACAGGTAGTCATGCCAGAGCAGGCACAACATGTTGGGGCTGTTTTACTCAGCGCTTACTGTCAGGAAAACGGTCTCGTCAAGCTCCTCTGCTTCCCTCACGATGGTCTCCAGAGTGTCCTTGGCAGTGTCCATGCTCTGCAGAAAGTGGACCATCTGGTCATGCAGGAACTCCATCTTCTTTTTCTTCACTTCCTCAAAGCTCTGGGCTTTCTCATCATACTGTGCCAGAAGCTTCTTCATCATTTCCTCATTCTGTTCTTCTAGACTTTTCTCTTTTTTGCTACAGTTTTCCTGGGGTGGAGGGAGGGGACAGGGAATACTTCTGAATGAAACATGAAGTGCATGCCTGTTTTTTTTTTTAAGACAAACACCAGCTTATGAAGTATTGACCTCTGCCATCCTGATAAGAGAATCAGACATTAAGTGCACAGTCTAAATTTCCAACTACCATCCCCCTTTGCCATAATTAGCTTTGTCATAGGGATTCACTGGAAGAATATCATCGAGAAAGTTTTAGCCTCTGAAATATGAAAACAATAATAATAAGGTATTTGTATAAAAGTCTTGCCCACCTGCATGCTACCCACACAATAAAACTTGAAAATGGCACCATAGTGAGTAAGGATCCCTGGCCTTCAGGTAGTGGAGAGGGGTAAGTGCCATTTCCAGCACTCCATTAAGATCACAGTGTGAGGGAGGGAGCAGCTAGGATGTTGAACAGGGTGCCACAGTCCCAAATGGTCTCCAGTGAGGGGACAGCTTCTACCACAGAGGGAGAAACTTTATCGCCCATGTGGACATATCCGGATGCCTGGCTACTATCAATGGCAGGGTTAATAATAAGGTGATCACACAATTTACTGTCTAAAAGAGATACTTGGGGGAGGGGGGGAGGGGACACTTCAAATAGTTAGCAGGTGTTAACTGATCGACAACAGGAGTTAAGCAGACCTCTCGCAAGCAAACCAGGATGTGGAGTTTTGCTAGTAGCAGTGGAACTGTGCAGCAGCCTTCTGCAGTGGCCTTGGGCCCTCGTCACTCCTGGTTGGTTGAGGGTACTTGAGCCACCTCTGTATAAGGATGGAGCATTGCTACCCACACCCTTCACTGTGAAAGGGGCAGGAGCCAGCAGCTAGGAGAGCATGAACTCATCGAAGACAGTCGTACCATGAGAAGCACTCATTGACCCTGGGCATGGGACACTGGGAAGTGACTTAGAGCATTTCCACAGAGCTAACCCAATGAGAGGGAGAAAAGTGGAGCAATGCACTTAACTCTAAGCCTCAGTCTCTTATCTGTAAAATGGAAACAATAATAATAACACCTATCTCATATGGTTATTATAAGGACGAAATTAGGTTAAACGTGTAAAGTACTTGCCCTATTACTGTAAGTGCCCAATAAATGTGTCTGTTTTTAAGGGCAAATCTTTTATCTTTAGGCAGAAAGTGTCTCACCAATTACACACAAAGGAAAGACTCTAAGGACTCCCACTTTGAAAGGAACAAAACCAGCAGTGGCAAACACACATGCACACACAAACTCGAATTCAGATTCGTTTAGCTCAGAATCATTTACTTATGATACTGTGAACAAACCAGGTTAAAGTAAAAGAGATATGTTAACTTACCTCAATGGTATTAAAAAAGGATTCTATCTCACTAACAAAGGCCTCAATCCTCAAGGACTTTTCTTGTAAATTTTCTAGAAATTCTGCTAATTGAACCTGAAGAAAAGAATTAAGATATACTTAGTATATGACACTTGGGAAAAGAACTTCAAGCAGTGGGCTCCAATTTCCTTATAAATTTAGCGTGTTTGTTCGATCATTTTTATACCATATTCACTAACAAATCAATCTTTAAATTTTCTTTACTGCTTCATCTAAATCAACTGTAAATAATTCTGTATGATAAACAATTAGGAGGTTTGTGAGTGAAGACCCAAAGCAACTGTAGAATGACCGTTTATCTTCTCATGCAGAAGAAAGGTCTGCTTGGTAAACTGGTGAGCTCAAAATATACTTGTTTTAATGAACTGTGTACTTGAATGCTTTCTCCTTAGTAAGGCCTCAATTTTTATACAATCTGAGTCACCAGCCTTTTTGCTAAGCTGGTCAAATTTACCTGAGTAGTTTCTTCACATTTGCCCCAGTGGCCTCAGGTGTGCCAGGAAGACCTGACACTGAGAAGGTGATCAGAGTGCCAGCAGGCCAGAAGTCTAGCATACCAAATCATAGACACTGTCCACTAAAGGGACCTAAAAGTACTGATGACTCTCAAAAGGCCAAAACACTCAAGTGGTGACAAGCAAGTAGAAAATATGCACGGTGAAGGGGAGGATGGTACCCACTTTAGTCACAGTTATAAACCTAGTGGTAGTCTATTCCACTAAACTGAATAAATAACAAAACAGAATAACAGAGCTTCACCATCTGATTCCCTATCCACAGAATGATGGAGAAGCTGATGGAAGCCTTTTCAGGGTCCAGCCTCTACTTCCCTCCAGGGCTCCTACCCATTCTCCACAGTCCCCCAGGCTTGTCACACAAGTGCACCTTTTCCCTGCACTCTTTCTGCATGTCTTTTCCTGTGGTATTCCCTATCTCTGGAATGTTCTCCCTGCCCTTGACTGCTAGAAGAGCTCTAGCTCACTGAAGTCTCTCCCAAGTTTTACCTTTTAGAGACACTTTCCCTAAACCCTCCCCTTCCCACCCCACCATCCCACTTCCAAAAGGTTAGTTTCCCAGAACATTGTGCTCCCACAACCCCATACTGATTTGGGAGATCAACAAGTCCACCTTTCTTTTGTTTTTTCACCCCCAATGATTAGCACAGTTCCTGATACAGAATAGGAAGCCAACAAACATTGAGAAAAAAGGGAGTGAGTGAAGGAAGAAAATAAATGACAAAAGATAAGCACCACAATGGGGATGGAGTACGGAGGAGACAGTAGTTCTTGAGTAATCTGTAAATGCGGCCATCAGTTCCTGAATAGGCACAAATGCCTACCCATAAGATGCTAGAGAATTCTTCTTACAACTTTTTTCAATTAATTTTTATTTTTAAAAATTACCAACCAACTCTTAATCTTCACAGTTGACTTAATGAAATGAAACAAGCCTGCCTGGCTTTAGTCAACTGGGTTTCCACTTTTTCCTTCTCATAGTGTTTAGAGAAGATCAAGGAGAAGAAAAAAAAAAAAAAACCTTAAGGCAGGAGACATATCTTTCCTCTTTTGAAATTTGTTTTAAATGGACAATATTTAGACAATTATTTCTTAACTTCTAAAACTCATAGAGATAAACAAAGCATAATGAAGAAGGCCAAAAAAATCCAGTCTTGTTTCTGCTGACAGTGGCCGATATTTGTTAGTTAACAAAACCAAGTGTCACCATAGAATGGGGCACACTTCACTGGAGCTAATGCATCTGATGTCTGAGATTTCACAAAAGTGGCCCCATCCCCTACCCTCAAATTTTAATAGGTAACGTTTCAACAAAATTCAACCCTGGAGAAATTGGACCAATATCAGACAAGTTGAGAGGGATTAATTTGGTAGGAAAAAATGCCAAGATTCTAATATGTTATTCCATTGAATCAAAATGAGTCCAACAGTTATTTAACAGTGACCTAATTGAATGATCATATGAAAATTGCTACCATTAGCAAGTCACTGAGCCAAACAATATGGATATACAGTCAAGAACGTGAGCTCTGGCATCAGACAGACCTGGGTAGCAATTCCAGTTCTGCCTTCCATGACCTTGGACAAATAACTGAAACTCTCTGAGCCTGCTTCATTACCTGCAAATTGATGACAGTGACAGGGTTATTATGAGGAATAAAACATATTCTGTATATAAAGAATTTAACACAATACCTGGCACAGAGTAAGTGCTTTGTTTGTTTGTTTGTTTGTTTGTTTGTTTTTTGTAATTTGCTAATGTTAAGATCACTCCTGCTGCTGTTTGGGGAACGGATTGAAGAGATGAGAATGGGGAGACCAGTTTGAAGGCTATTGAAAGGTAAACAGGGCATCCCAAAGTCTAAATGCTGATTTCCAATAGCATCTCTGGAGAAGTAGAGTATTCACAATGACATACATAGGATATGTGTTGTGACTAACTTTTTATCTGAAACAATGGGGTCCTATTTCCTAGCCAGAAAGAGTGCAAAGGTTTTCCATTTCCAACATAAGTTTTATAAATAAAAGGGAAATATGAAGAAAATTGGAATTTAAAATGTCTTCCTGTCTTGAGTTTTTATATGAAACTTACAATAAAATTGTTCGGTGTAATATATATATACATATTTTTAAAGGATGATATTGTAGATGATAGAAAATAAGTTGTGTTTTAAGCTCAAAGGTATATTTTTTAAATTTCAAGTTATATGGTGTTTTTGATAATGTTAAGTGTTATGTCATAAAATGACAAGCCTGTCAAAGGCAGTGACCCTGTGTTATTTATCGTAGTATCCCCAGAACCTAGAAAAATTCCTGGCATGTAGTGTATCTCCAATAAATGTTTGTCAAACTGATTTTAACTAAACTCCTGGAGAAATATTCTTAGTTTGCTTTCAGACTAATTATTCTGCTTAAAGATGAATGTACCAAATATTGGTCATTTTTAAAATTGAGGAAATGTGAAGGCAAATTTAATGTATATGTATTATTATTTGTACACTTTAAAATCTACTTACCTTTACAGCACTTATAGCAGTGTCGAGTGTTGAAACCTCATGATCTTTGTGAGTGTCAAACACCTTGTCAATAGCAGAAATTGGGCTTTTGCAGGTATAGCAATATGTGTCAATCTGGGGCTTTTTCAGTTCCTTTTGTGCCTTTTCAGTTACTATCTCTGATGATAATTGGTCTTGTTCTGTCCTCTCTCTGCCCAACTCTTTCTGTTCAGCAGACATATTTTGTTCCACCTCACTCACAAATTCATTTTTACTGATGTGTTCCAAGGATTCCTTTCCTTGAGATAATACATCTTCAGGCGTCGATTCTGAATACAGTTCTTCTGATAAAATGTCTTGACTAACCACTTCATAATTCAGGGATTCAGCAAATTCATACTCATCTTGAACAGGGCTATTGCGGAGCCTCTCTTCACTTGGCTCATGTGGGACCAGCAGTTTAGGTTCTTCTTGTGGTGCTTCTTGCATGTAAGTTGCACCAGATGCAAAGTCTTCCTCTGGGAAAGACACTTGCACTGGGACATTCAGATTGACCTCTGGACTTGCATTTGCTGCTTCATCACCCTGACTGCTCATTTCATCTACACTCTCCAGGACGTGATGGGTGTCTGTAAATGGAACTGCATAGCTTATCTTCTGGGTAACCACTGTGACTTCCTCAGTGATGGGTGCTTTCCTCTGCATCGCTGCATTATCAAAGGTCTCCACATGGCCTGCTGATTCTCCTTCCCTGTAAACAGCTTCCTCCTCTTCTTCCAGACACTTCTCCCCAAAAATAGTTCCAAACCTACCCCAAATTTCTCCTTCTGCAACTATCAGTTGGTATGAATCATCCTTACCAACTGGTTTTTCTTCTAGACCTTGGCCTTGGTCCTTCTGAGTTACAGATGTGTCATGGAGAATGTCATCTCTGAGTATGTACTTCTCAAAATATACTCCTGTTCCATCATCGGTGTCAGAATTTCTGCTTGGAAATGATGCCTCAGAATTCACACTGTCACCTTCAGAAGCTGTCTCCCCTTCCTTTTTCTCTCCAACTGCTTCTTCATACAGATCCTTATATAAATATGCAAGTGCAGGTGGCTCCTCCAGAAGTTCTGGATTAACAGCATTGGCAGTGGTAGGAAATATTTGGGTTCTTGACAAAACTCCGTCCTCTTCATCAAATAAAGGCATCCCAGGTGACTTTGAGTCCACATCTCTATTTACGCCCTTTGAAGCATTCATGTCAGCTGATTTTTGGATAACTGAAGACTTTGAGATCTCTGGATGACATAATTGGCTGTGGTCCTTTTCTGATCCATAAAAACTTTCATCTAATTTCACCAAGTCATATTCATGTTCTAGGGCACTTTCCTCTGAACTTTCTGGGAAAGAGATAGTTTCTTCAGTAACTTCCTTTGAGAGTTTCTCTTCAGCGTTTAACTTCTGAGGAGCTTTCTGTTTTTCTGGGTCTGGGGAGATGTTATAATCAACCAAAGTATATTTTTCAAAATAATCCTCTTCGCTGGGAATTGTGGGCTGCATAAAAGCTAAATCACTAGTTTCTGAATCTGTGGCTATCTCCTCTTCTGTTTTATACGTTTCCTTTTGTTCATTTTCTTTCAATGATGTAACTTTTTCATCAGAATCTTCTAACTTGCTCTTTAATGTTTCACAGCAAGCAACTGCCTTGCTATCATCATGGAGTTGTATGGATTTAAATGAGGCCTTTTCTTCCAAATATTCTAACTTATCTTGCATTTGTTCACATTCTTCCTGATCAACTGAAGAAATAAAGGCAGGAGCGTGAATATTCAATATCTCACAGCCTTCGGAAATGATACTGAAGGCACTCTTCTGATCTTCTGAAAGTCCAGCTGGCTTACTAGTCACTGTGAATTCTTCATCTTTTGCATATGTATCCTCAGGCTCCTCAGACATTTCTTTAGCAGAAATCATTTTATCAGCATTGATTGTTGATGCATTAGTTATAAATTGAGCATAGTTGCTTTGTGCTGAAGAGAATGGTTCGTTTACATGGGCATCTTCCACAGCCTCCAAGTGGTGCTTTGAAACAGGAACAGATTGCTTAGGCATATCAGATGTGTGATCTTTAGATGTTTGGATAGTGTGGACTGTATGCCTGTCTGCAGTCAATTCTGACCATGGCATTTCTTGTTCCTTCACTGTATCAATTTCTGGAGAAGACCCTGAAGCAAGAATGTGAGGTTTTACAGATGACAGCAAATATGGTGGTGTGTCTAAGCTCTTCGTTTCATTAAAAGGACGATCTAAAGTCCTTTCAGATTCTTTAGATAGAGATCCTTGCTTCGTACTTTCTTTTGTAATATCTGTTGAACCACCTTTAGATGGTTCTGACACTGTGAACTGTCCCTTTCCTTCATCGTGACCCACCACATCCCTGCCTGCCTTTCCTAATACCAGATTTCCTTCCTGAGCTAAAGAATTGTTATCTATTGCATCACGGTAAGGAAGATCCACTGGAAGGAAAGTCTTGGTTTTCTCCAGCAAAACTTTACTTTCTTCTAATGAATGTGGCTCGATTCCTACTGCCTTTGTTTCCCTGATTTCTGGGTGAGCCTCTGAGAGCATGCCTTCTGATTTTTCAATAATGGATGTAGTTTTAACTAGTGAAAATAGTTGCATTTCACCCAAAGAATGATCTAAAGAGACAGATTCTTCAGGCATAGACCTGGGCACATTCACAGAATAAGGCTGACTTTCCTGCCGCTTCTTTCCTTCTAAAAACACTTGTGCCTGCTCTTCTTTTTCTTTTCCTTTCTCCTCCTCAGAACCAGAAATAGTTTTGGGTTTTTCATTGTGGTCTTCATGTTGATAGACTTGCTGCAGCACAGCAGCTGCTTTTGAGTCTTCCAGTTTAACAGGTCTAGATCCGTGTGTAATTTGTGCCTTCCCTATTTCATTATTATCTCTAAACTCTAACGAGGCCACAGTTTCTTGTTTTTCTGCCAGCACCTTCTTTTCTGCCAAGGTATATGATCTGTTTTCCAAGTTATCTTTCTCTTCAGTTGGGCTAACAGACCAGAGTTTTATTTCCTCTTCAGAAATTTTTAAGGAAGTAGGTTTTGGCATTTCTTTCTTTAGTCTGTCTTCACCAAGATCAATTAAACTGCCTTTTGATTCGTGTACTGGCAATATCATTGCTTCTGGCTTCTCTGATTCCTTTGTGATATTTTTACTTGTGAAGTCGGATGAGGCTGATGTTGGCTGTTGTGGCACCTTATCTACTGCATCAAATGAAAAGAGTGATTTTTCTTTTTGATCACTTCTTGACTCTTTCTTAAGAATAGAAATATTCCAAGTAGATGGATGAGAGATTGCTGGCTTCTGGACTCTTTTACTATCAGTAACATGAACAGGAACAACATTTTTGGCCTCTTCTTTAACTAATTTCTCACCCATGGGAGAATAAGGTTGAATTCCAAGATGTTCCTCACCATCAGCAGAAGTAACTACTGAGTTTGTGTCCATTTCCTCTGAATAGTTTGAGATTTCTTTCTTCCCATAATCTTCACTAGACATCTCAGAGCCGAATTTTGGCTGTTGTAAAATTTCTACATTTGATAAAAATTTGGGTTTTTCTTTAAAGTCTTGGCTTTCACCAGATTTAACGAAAGTACCTTTGGATTCATCAGCAGTTTGAAGTTTTACCCCTGGTAATGAATGATCAGCTGGTTTCTCAGTTGCATTAAAAGCAGCGGGTATTGTACCTTTAGGCTCTATTACAGTCACTGCTTTTTCTACCGGTAGACTTGTCTGAGTTTCTAAATCTTTTTCAGCAACTTTGTTATCTGAAGCACTTGATCCAAAAAACAAACTAGACATCCATGATTTGAAAGCTGAAATTCCTTTCTTTCCCACAGAAAGGCCTGGCTCAACCACCTTTGGCTGCTCAGGCAGCTCTTGTGCCTCTGGGGGCTGAGGTTCTTCATTTGCTTGGACTGAGGAGAGGGATTCTTTTCGTGTGGGTATTTTCACTTCAGGTGCTGGTTTCCCTCCCTCATTAGCATCATCTACAACCTTTGGTGGAACCATTTTTGATTCTTCTAATGGCTTCTCTCCAGGTAAAGGAGGTGTGCTCCTATGTGCTTCTTTTTCATTGTCCAGTTCAGGTTCCACACCTTCTTCCAGGAAAGGGGCTGCTTTGACAGGAGATGGGATAGTTTCTGACTTCACCTGTTCCACTGACGAGCCAGATACTGGTTTCTGGAGGATCCTTTCAGGAGGTAGTTTGATTTCTTCCTGGCTATCTTCTTTGCAAGGCCTAGAAAATTCTATGTTTGCTTTCTCCAATATCAAGCTTTCACCTTCCATGAAGGAATGGATCTGCTTCCCCTCTGCTATGTTTCTCTCTACATCAGCTGGAACTAAAGACTTCGGTTCTTGGGCCAGCTTTATTTCTTCAGAAGAGTGAGTTTCAGTTGATAAGATCTCTGCATTACCACTGGAGGTATCTAGAGTAGATCCTGGTTCTTGTAAGGACAAATGGGATTCTTCAACAGAACGTGGCGGGACCTCCTTTCTGATTTTATATGTATGGTCCCTACCTGACAGAGCCTTGAGCTGCCCTGGCAGCAGATCATTGCTGCCAGAGGAATCCAGCTGCACATATCCTAGTATTCTTTCTTCATGTTGACTGGCCAAATTTTCTGGCTTTTTCAGCATCCAATTTTCATCCTTTGAAGAAATAAGGGGCTCTCTCATTTTTGTTTCTTTATCGTCTGCAGGTTCAGTGGTCAAAAATGATTTTGATTGCTCCAAAGGCAAATTCTCTTTCATAAATGAAAATTGTTTAATACCCAGATCTTGTTTCTCTGCAAAAGAAGTGCTTACATCAGGTATTTTCACAGCTTGATCTGAATGAAGTGCATATTTAGGCTTCATCTGTTCTACAAGGTCAGAAGAAGTGATCTTTGATGGTTCTATTATACTCTGGAGTACATGGGATGAGTTTGGTTGGTCTATTTCTTCATTCAGTTTAGTCACAATATCTCCCATGACTTGTGCCTTCAAATTTCTTGCTGGTGGTAGTGGGCCTATTTCTTGTCTTTCCCCTTTTTTAAAGTCGGCTGGATAGTTCAACTCATCTGATAATCCTTTTGAAGAAAAAGTATATAGCTGAAGTTCTTCTGGGCTGTCTCCTTTGACTAGCAAGGTAGATGCCTCTTTTGACCCTGGGCTAACTACCTCTGGAGACAAAGGTTTAATTTCTTCATTCTGAGGTTCCTCCCTAAGGCATGATGAAACCTCTGAAATTGCAGACACTGTAGTAGATGCATGAAGTTCCCTGTTTTCTTCTTTTCCTTCTCTGTTCCTAAACTCAGCTAGGCCATTTTCTAGAACAGAATCCCCTGTTTCAGTTATGGGAGATGTCACTTGCTTTGTACTTATGGATCCACTTTGTCTACCTAAACTGCTAGCGAATTCTGACCCAGCATTTGGTAATTCTGATAGTTGGTGTGGTTTGTCTGTCTTCGGAGGCTCCAAGGAGAGCTCGGCCAGAGCAAGATCTTGTTTTTCTGCCAGGAAATCTCCCTGAGCTGTAGAAGATGTCTCCATTGCCTGTCTGTTTTTATTGTCACTGAGGATCAATAATGTGGGGGCTAAATCTTTTGATGGTAAATTTTCCAATTTGAGAGAAGAATTTGCTACTTCCTCATATTTGCCTTTTGGAACTATATGTTTGGGTGGAGGTGGCACATTTTGTGATGTAGGAAGTTCAGTTTCTTCTTTCTTTATCTCACCACCTAGGTTGAGCGAAAGCACATCTTCAGGCTCTAATAGCTCTGAGGTGGAAACCACGTTCTTTTTCTGTGTTAAAATCAAATGTTCGGGGTCGAAGATGGTAGAAAATGAAAAACCACATTCCTCTTCTACCCTTGCTCCCTCAGATACATCTGAATGCAAAGATGAAGGTTTGGTTATCAGCAGTCCAGGTTTAACTTCTTTGGTTTCCACCTCTGACAAAATAGAATGCTCTGATAGGGAGGGTGCACTTGGAGGTGAATCAAATTCAATTTCCTTCTCTGCTTCTGACCAAGCTAGGTGTTTGGATGAAGGAGTTTCAATGGGAGAAGCACCTTTAACTGCTACCCTTTCTTCTTCTTTAAGAACTAAATGCTCATCTATAGATGTTTCTGGTGGTGGCAAGCCATTTCCTAATTCACCCTTTCTTACTTTTGTTAAGACTGGACGTTCTACAGGGGTGACAAGAGATGAATCTGTTGGGATTTCTTCTTTCTTGGTTAAGTTTGAATCAAGCTTAGTTACAGCTGTTGTGGTTGCTGAAGAACTGGGTTCAATTTCTTTCTTCATTTCTTCTGAAAAAGCTGGAAATGCTGGTGCAGGTGGACCATGCTCAACTTCCATTTCCAATCCTGATGAAGGTGAATGAAACACTGTAGGTGTACTTCTTATTTTAGAATCATGTTTCACTTCCATTTTCACTGCTGGTAAAACCTCAGGTCCAGATAAAGATGTTTCCTTTAGAGGTGAATACAGTTTTATTACTTCAGGATCATTCTTTGACAACATTCTCTGCTCTAGTTCAGAAGTCCCAGTTGGAGCTAAATTGGGTTTGACATCCTTCTTTGACTCATCTGTCATGTCATATTTCATCCCAGACCCTGGAACATTTGGAGGCTGAGGCTCCATTTTTTGATCCTGTGTTTCATGTGCTATAGCTTCTTGAGAATCAGGTACAGCTTCTTCTTTTCTGACTTTTGACAAAGCCATCTGTTTATTTGCAGCTTTTACAATGAGTGTAGCTTTGGGTTCCTGTTCTTTCTTAATTGCATAGACTGAATCAGGTGAAACTGAATACTGAGATGCAGGCAAAACAGGTAAAGAAGAAGGTGTTGCAACTACTGATGAACTAGTTTTAATTTCTCCTTTCTCCAATTCACTTGTTAAATATGGTGGAATCAAGTCTTCAGACTCAGGTTCGAAGGATGCTTGAGATTTCTGCTTCTGTGCCAGAATGAGATATTCAGATACGGATACTGAGGTTGTTTGAGCATCTGGCTTAATTTCTGCTTTCTCTACTTTATTTGTTGAAAGTGGCACACTCAAGTCTTCAGGTGCAGATACCAAAGGGAATGGTTCAGCTTTTTGCTTCTGTGATGAATCAAAATACTCAGGTACAGGTGTAGAAGCTGTTGGTCCAATTTCTTCCTCATCTGCTTCTGAAAAGCAGGAATATCCTGAAGCAGACATTGCAGTTAATATCGAATCAGGCTCAATTTCACGTTTCTCTGTTTCTGGAATTTCGTACAGGGGGATTGAAACTTGTGATGCTGAGTCAGGAGAAAAAAGTTCAGCTTCTTCAGTGTCTTCATCTGACAAAATAGTATGTTCAGATGGTGATGTTAAACATATTGGAGAATCACACTCAAATTCTCTTTTCTGTGCTTCCTGAGTTACATAGGGTGAAAATGAGAATTCTGACACAAATGCAGAATCTGGAGAAAAAGGTCCCATGTCTTCTTGTCCTTCTTCTGAAAAATTCATGGGTGAGGAGGCACGTTTTAGATTTAGAGGCGACCTGTGGATAGTTTCTTCCTCCTGTGACTCTGGTGTTGCATATGGTGGTGCCGAAAATTCAGACGCAGACGTGGAAGAGGGTGTGTACCGCTCCATTTGTACTGTCTCTTCTTCTGATAGGACTGCACATTCAGATGGGGTAGCCGAAAGTGTTGGGACCTGCCATTCACAAGTCACCTCAGTTGAGTATGGTGGAAAAGAGTGTACAGACACAGAGGCCACATCTGGGGAATACAATCCAGTGTCTTCCTTCTCTTCTTCTGACAGAATTATGTCCTCAGAAATAGCTTTTGATTTGAATTGGGACAACACATCATCACTTATTTTCTTTGGGGATTCCTGTGTTGCATTTGGTGGAACTGCATGTTTGGAAGTCAAGTTTGAATCGGGTGTGACATGCTCACTTCCCAGGTCGTCTCCTTCTGATAGGACCACGGGTTCTGATGTAGCAGTAGAAGGCAGCAGTGACTGGCACTCAGACGTCTTCTCAGCTGTGGATGGTGAGAGAGAGCGTTCAGATGCAGAGGCCACAGCTGGGGAATACAATCCAGCGTCTTTCTTTTCTTCTTCTGACAGAGTTATGTCATCAGAAATGGCTTTTGATTTGAGCTGGGATATGACATCATCACTTATTTTCTTTTCGGTTTCCTGTGTTGCATTTGGTGGAACTGTATGTTTGGAAGTCAAGTTTGAATCTGGTGTGACATGCTCACTTCCCAGGTCGTCTCCTTCTGATAGGACCACGGGTTCTGATGTAGCAGTAGAAGGCAGCAGTGACTGGCACTCAGAAGTCCCCTCAGCTGCAGATGGTGAGAGAGAGCGTTCAGATGCAGAGGCCACAGCTGGGGAATACAATCCAGTGTCTTCCTTCTCTTCTTCTGACAGAATTATGTCCTCAGAAATGGCTTTTGATTTGAATTGGGACACCACATCATCAATTATTTTCTTTTCGGTTTCCTGTGTTGTATTTGGTGGAACTGCATGTTTGGAAGTCAAGTTTGAATCGGGTGTGACATGCTCACTTCCCAGGTCGTCTCCTTCTGATAGGACCACGGGTTCTGATGTAGCAGTAGAAGGCAGCAGTGACTGGCACTCAGACGTCTTCTCAGCTGTGGATGGTGAGTGAGAGCGTTCAGATGCAGAGGCCACAGCTGGGGAATACAATCCAGCGTCTTTCTTTTCTTCTTCTGACAGAGTTATGTCATCAGAAATGGCTTTTGATTTGAGCCAGGATATGACGTCGTCACTTATTTTCTTTTCGGTTTCCTGTGTTGCATTTGGTGGCACTGCATGTTTGGAAGTCAAGTTTGAATCGGGTGTGACATGCTCACTTCCCAGGTCGTCTCCTTCTGATAGGACCACGGGTTCTGATGTAGCAGTAGAAGGCAGCAGTGACTGGCACTCAGACGTCTTCTCAGCTGCGGATGGTGAGAGAGAGCGTTCAGATGCAGAGGCCACAGCTGGGGAATACAATCCAGCGTCTTTCTTTTCTTCTTCTGACAGAGTTATGTCATCAGAAATGGCTTTTGATTTGAGCTGGGACATGACACCATCACTTATTTTCTTTTCGGTTTCCTGTGTTGCATTTGGTGGCACTGCATGTTTGGAAGTCAAGTTTGAATCAGGTGTGACATGCTCACTTTCTAAGTCCCCTCCTTCTGATAGGACCACAGGTTCTGATGTAGCAGTAGAAGGCAGCAGTGACTGGCACTCAGACGTCTTCTCAGCTGCGGATGGTGAGAGAGAGCGTTCAGATGCAGAGGCCACAGCTGGGGAATACAATCCAGTGTCCTCCTTCTCTTCGTCTGACAGAATCATGTGCTCTGAACCCCCTTTTGATTTTAATGCGGACTTACGGTCAATTGTTTTCTTCAATGACTCTCTTGTTGCATATGATGAAATTGAATATTCAGAAGCAGATGTGGAATCTGGTGTGTAACACCCACTTTCTGAGGCCTCATCTCCCGACAGGACCATGTGTTCTGATTTAACTGGTGAAGACAGTGGGGACTGGCACTCAGAAGTCCCCTCAGCTGCGGATGGTGAGAGAGAGCGTTCAGGCGCAGAGGCCGCGGCTGGAGAATAAGGCTCAAACTCCTCATTCTCTTCTGCTGACAAAACTGCATGTTCAGATGTAGCTTTTACATTGGATGGAGAAACTAGCTCAGCTTCTCTTTTCTCCAGTTCATAGTTCAAATCCTGTGGGACTGAATACTCTGATACAAAAGCAGAATCAGTAGAAACAGACTCATTTTCCTCTCCTTCTTCCTCAGGCACAGCGACTTGTTTAGTCATTGTCAGTAATGGTAGACTGGGCTCCTCTTCTTTGTGCTCGACTTCGGGGGACACATGTGGTGGGAAGAGCTTTTTGGAAACTAGTGGACTTTCTGGGTAATCAAGTTCTATGATCTCTTCTACTAAATTAGAATCTTCAAGTTCTGGGGTAGCAGCTATCGGCAGGGAAGTTTCTACTTCTTCTTTCTCTGGTTCTTCTAACACTTCAGGTTCAGAAAGAGAAATGGATGGCTCAGGTACGTTTTCTTCCTTCTCTCCTTTGACAATGGGATGAGGAGGGGTCAGTTGTTCAGAGACTGGTTCTGCCTTTTCTAGTGACGTCAGGTCCAGCTGTTCTTGGTCTGGACCAAAACCTTCCTGGATAGATGCTGCCAGACCTGGTGAAGCTGTCTCCAGAGCATCCTTCTCTGCCTCCAATGAAATGGAATGGTCAGCAGAATACATGTCTTCCTTCTTTCCTTCATTAACGAAAGATAATGAAATTGAATAGTCATTCTCTGAAGTTATGGTTCCTTGTGAATCGGGCTCAAAGTCTTCCTTTGCAGTTTCCAGGAACACAGTTGCAGATGTGTCGGGCATGAGGGAGGAAGGCTCCATTTCAGGGGTTCTTGCTTCATTGTCTGGCTCTTGTGGCCCTGACTGTGGAGGCCTGAGCTGTACTTCTTGTTTGGCTGAGTCATTACTTGAATAAGAGGAAGCTGTGCGCTTGGTTGCAGATGTGGCAGTTAGGGGGGAATCAATGTGAATTTTCTTTTGATCTTCATGACTGAATAATGAGATCAGGGACTTTGATCCTTTGGAGAGTGCACCTCTCCAGGATGAAGCAAGCTCTTTTTCTTTATTAACTTCTATGCTTGGGGCTACTAAGTTGCCTGTTTTGCAAACTATGTTAGAATCACGATTGCCCAAATCAGGCTCTAAACTAATGGATGCATCTTTCCCTTTCCTATAATGTATTTCTTTAATTACATAACCCTTTGGCAACGTTCCATAAAATTGTAGAGGAATTAATTCTTCTTTAACCGAATTAAACATCTTAATTTTATACTGTACTGTTCCTATGTAAACTGGCCTTAACACTAATGGCTTGTGTTCTTTGTATATTGCCCCAGTTATAAGAGGTGTATTTGAGGCAGTCTTCTTTTTTCTTGTTTTATCATAAATGCCAGGAGATGCCTTTTCTTTCTTGGTGTTTAGTACCTGGCTTTCTGAAATTAAAGGACTGTCTTTTTTGTTTGCTGGAATATCTTGGGATTCAAGAGAATTTCTTTTTTTGTGGCCTTTCCGACGCAATGATGGTGAACCATGCTTTGACTTATGATTTCTTTTCCGAACTTTTTTAACTTCATCCACAATAAAGGAAACATTTCCTGGAGGAGAATTCACAGTTGACCCTTCCAGACTACACACACCAGAAGTCTGACTTTCTTCTGAGGCCCAAGGAGTGGAGGATCTGCTTGAACTTCTCTCCCAAGTTATTCCACTATCTTCCCGTTGAACTGTCACCATGGAAAAGGAGGGGTCAGAAATGATACACTCCTGCTTGGTCTTGCCCTCTTCATCATGGTCTGATAACCTACAAAAAAAATAATAATATTAATAAGTATATATAACATTTTTTAAAGTAATATTAATTATTAGAATAATAAGTAAATATTTTTTTAGCTGGGAAAGGATTAATCTGAAATTCAAATATAGAGAATATTATTGCTATCCATGTCAAAAATAGGGATGTATATAAAATAAAGCTAAGAAACTAAAATCAGTGTAGCAAATATGAGTACAATAACATATCCTGGGCTGGAATGACTCAATATCCTGCAAACTCAAAAAAGCTGAAGTTTAATTCACCACCTTCCCAATAAACAAACAAATATATAAAGAACAATTTTAAAATAAAAATAAAACAAAAAATAAATTTTCACCACATTCCCTCATCAGGCTTGCCCTCCTGATCTCCCCACAGCTCACACTCATCACCAGGATCTTCATAATGACTCCTGAAGGACTCTTGCATCTGTGCCCTGCCTGCTACCACCACCACCACCTAACCTAGCTTTCTATCTCTTCACTCCTAGGCTATTTCCATGAGCTTCCTAAATGGTCGGCTGGTATCACATTTACCTCTTAATGCCCCCCACCCCCCACCCCATCCTGCCCATCTCTTCAGACTAGCTTTACTGACCATTTTCATCACGCCACTCTCTGCTCAAAAGTCTCAGTAAATTCTTCATACCTACAGCGAAGAAAAAGTTCAAAATCCTTAGCTCTCTGTTCCCTATCTGACATTATTTCCAAGTACCCATCTCTACCCTACCCCTACATGGTAAATTTTAACTATATAATTCACTGTCTAGTAAATATATCTTGGGAACCCTGAGTCATGATAAAGGAAAAACAGGTCACTAAGTACAGAGAGATCACAAAAAAAATGTCATCCTACTGTGCTTCACTTTCCTCATGTGTTAAACAGGGATAATAATAGAACATACCTCATGGAGTTGTTGTGAGGATAAAATTAGTTAATACACACGAAATGCTGAGGAAAGGTGCCTGGGATGTAGTTAGTGCTCAATAAATGTAATTTAAAAGAAAAAGAAAGGGCCGGCCCGGTGGCGCACTGGATAGTGCGCCGCTTGGGAAGCACGGCGGCACTCCTGCCCGAGGGTTCGGATCCCACATACAGACCGGTTCCTGCTCACTGGCTGAGTGAGGCACGGGAGCAGCACCGAGGGTTGCAATCCTGTTGCCGGTCCCCGGTCCGGTACGGGGGCAACACTGAGGGTTGCGATCCGTTGCCGGACACAGAAAAAAGACAAAAAAAAAAAAAAAAGAAAAGAAAAGAAAAAGAAAAAAAAATGTCTGTAATCAGGCCTTCCATACAATCCTTGGACTGGAGATCAAAGGAGCTTGGGCATGGGCATTCGCAACTGCTACACGTGTTTGGAAAGACTGTCTCCTTGGACTGCTGTCCCCTCCCTTCCAGGACGGCTGGCTCCAGCTACCCCTCCACTTGTCACAGGGCCCCTGTCTCAGACTCTGTAGCACTCTTCTTCTCTGGAATTTTCTTCTACTTCTCCCTCACCTGTGCTTATGCTGTTCCTCCATTTAGAATGCTAATTACCCACCACACTTCACCTCTTCTGCATGTTTAAATTCTATCTGCTCTTCAAGGCTCAGTTTTAAAATCTCTATGGTTACCATTCCTGACCAATTCAGCAGTCATGTTTGCCATCACTTCAAGAACATTAAGTTCAAGATTAAAACTCCACAGGCTATTTCCTCCTAGGAATAAGGGTACAATTTGAGATAAATCCAAACCATTGACAGGCTTACACCTTTCTACAACAAGAACAAAAACTCTCTATGTTGAAACCACTAAACATAAGTAGTAAGTTAAGGCACTTTTTTAAAAGACACAGGATTTAGGTCCCTTACTATTCTTTTCCTCATCAGTCACTGCTTATATCCATGGTTTTTTAACTCTGGAACTCTTTAGAATCATCTGGGAGGAGTTTTATAAAAATATTGATACGACGCCATATTTCTCTCCACAGAGACTCTGGTTTAAATGCACTAAGCGTCTGAGCATTGCTATGTTTTTATGTTTTGAAAGCTTTCAGGTGACTCCAGTGTGCATCTGGAGTACAGAAATCACTGGCATAAACAATTCTAGCTCTGAAACTTACATAGCACCTGTCTTTTTTTCTTTCTCTGGAACCTTCCTGGTTTGTGGCTGAGGACCAGGACCATAAGTCCTTGCAGGTACATGCTACTCTTTGTTGAACTTCCCACCAGTCTGCTGCAAAAGGGGTATGACTGCACTGAGAAATTGATCTCCTTAGCTTTCAGCACAGCCAGGTGGAGCCTAGGGCAGCCAGAGGCCCTGGGACACTGGCCTTCAGTGGCAAACAGCCTCATCTATTCACCCCAGTGTGCAGTAAATAATATCATTTTCTACACATGCAACGAGTAAAAGGGTTGGGAAGCAGTGGGAAGAACTAGTTTCTCCATTTTCCTAGCAATGCTGCTGTCACTTATTTACTTTGGTATTAAACTACTGAACTTAATTATACGTTAATACTCTATCTTGGTCCTTGATGAATCTTATTTTAAACTGGCTTTTTTTTAAGGCTCTTTTACATACCCAATTAAAGTTATTTTTCAGAATTTTCAACTCATACTACTCCTTTTCCCTTCCATGTAACTTAACAGAAATAGGACAAAATTAAAAATTAAGGTTATGACATGCTTCTGGGAAGTCAGTATTTTGAACGCCCATGGTTGTAGTAGCGTTATAAAAGCAATTGCAAATTCAATTTAAGTTGTGAGGGCTGAGCAGAGAACCCAAACGGTGGTCATAAGAAGACAGAGCCCTACTGAGTTGGATTCGGTCACTCACTTGCTTATTCATTCACTCATTCACTTCTCATTTAATAAACCTTAATTGAGTTTAGACACTAGGAATACAAATATAAAGACACAGAAGCTTCTTTTAAGAAATTCAAAATATAATAGACGGAACTAAACATTCTCATACAGTGTGATAAGTACTATTACAGAAGATAGACAAAATACAATGAGAACACAAAGAAGGAAAGACTTCACAGAGGGAAGATAATTGAGTTGGTTTGTAGAAGAAGAAATAGGAGTTTGCCAAATGGATGAAAGAGGTAATATAAGGATGGAGAGGTCATTCCAGGAAAATGTCACAGGATATGCAAAACATACATACAAATGAACAGTCTGGCTCTCTGAGAGACCCAAAGTTGGAAGACAGAGCCAACAGCAAACAGAGAATGACTGCATCAGCATGGGTAAAGCTGTAGCCCAAGTATTTATATTACACTCAGCCTAAAGAAACAATGTTTTAATAGAAGGGAAATGGTTTCCACAGAGTTCAGAAATGTTTCCAGGACTGTTTCTTAGTCAGGAACACGAGTGTTCTCATCTATGTATACACCAACGTTTCTTATTAAAGGATATTAGCTATGACGATCATCTTATTCATTCCCCTCTGTTTGCCTTCTCACAAAGCAACCTTCTGATTATTACTTGGCTTCCATGTAGATTTATCTATGGGAGTGAGGTGAGACAAATCTAATGACTTAGAGAGCTCACTTCCTTTCACCTTTCAGACTTGGGCAAGGTTCAACAGGTCTGAGTTAGATGATGATAAAAAAAAAGACTATACCAGAGATGAGCACCAAAGGCTCCCCTTCCATTTCAGGATAACTTTTATCTGATTAAAGAAGTTTCTTTCTATTAATATTTGCTAAGACAATTTTTTAAAAATTATAAATGGATAAGTTTTATTAACCAATTTTTATACAACTATGGAGATGATCATATTTTTCTCCTTTATTATGTTAGTGTGGTGGTTTACAGTGGTTGATATCCAGATGTCAAACCAACCTTGAACTCCTGAACTGAACTCAATATGGCTGTAATGTATTATAATTTTTATGTAATACTGGATTTGGTTTGCTAATACTATGTTTAGGAATTTTGCTCCCATGTTCATGAATAATATTGGGCTTTAATCTCCTTTCTTACGATGTGCTTGTCAGTTTTTCATATAAGGATTATGATGCCTCATAAAAAAAGTCAGAAATTGTTTCCTCCTTTATTATTCTCTGAAAGAGTTTGTTAAATATTGCATTATTTCTCCCTTAAGTGTTTGGTAGAATTTATTGGTAAAGTTACCTGGATTTGGAGACCTCTGTGGTAAGGTTTTTAATTAGCAATTTAATTTATCTAACACTTATATGACTATTCAGAATTTCTTTTTTGTTTTGTAGTAGTTTCTACTTTGCTATTTTTTCATTATTTTTTAATTTTAACATTTACTTGTACATATTGTGAGGTAGGGTATGTTGTCTCAAAGCATGCATATACTGCACAATAATTCACTTAGGGTAGACAGTGTAGTTTTGTCTTACTTGGCCTCTGGTAACCATTGTTTTACTTCTATGAGAACTTTTTTTTTTTAGATTCCACATGTGAGTGAGATCATGCAGTATTCATCTTTCTGTGCCTGATTTACTTCACTTAACATGATGGTTTCCAGTTCCGTCCATGTTGCTCTGATAAGATATCATACACGGGCCGGCCTGGTGGCGCACTGGATAGTGCGCCGCTTGGGAAGCGCAGCGTCGCTCCCGTCCGAGGGTTCGGATCCCACATACAGACCGGCTCCCGCTCACTGGCTGAGCGAGGCGCGGGAGCAACACCGAGGCTTGCGATCCCGTTGCCGGTCCCCGGTCCGGTACGGGGGCAACACTGAGGGTTGTGATCTGTTGCCGGACACGGAAAAAAGACAAAAGACAAAAAAAAAAAAAAAAAAGATATCAAACAGCTTAATAGTATTCTCCTGTGTATATATAACACAGTTTTTAAAATCCATTCAT